ACAAACAAAATAGAATTTTTTTTATACACAAAACTGTAAAGAAATCGTTGGGAATGAAAGAGACTATTTACAAGTATGAAGAACTGTTCGTTTGCTGAATTTAAAACCAGGATTTGAATACCAGCAGACCATTTTGCGATTTCTCATCATAAGTCGCTTGTTTTGAGTCTAAAATTTGTCTCCATCTAGAGAATGGAAACGAATCGGCTTTCGCTGGTACGACAAGCTCAATAAAACGTAAAAACTGGAAATCCTTCAAAAATAAGTCATATTTTTCATGCTGCCCATACTCTAGAACTAATCGATTGTTACTATGTGACACCACAAGAGAAAATTCTTCAATATTCGGGAAATATTCCGTGATGTACGTTAAGTTGTGTACATCAGTTGGATTATAAACGATTTTCAATCGTTTGACTGAAGGAATTGTTTTTAAACTCGATTTCAGCATTGATCTTGAACAATAGAAATTTGTGAGTGAAAGCGTTTTGACATTCGGCAAATAACTAAGTAACGTAAAAGAAGAGAGAAGAGAGTAATTTTGAAGTGATAAGGAAGTTAAATAATTCGAACAGGAAACAATTGTCGGAGGAAAAACAAATTCCATATCGATATGAAGATGAACGAGATAAGGCATTTTGGCGAAGAGGTTTTTTATCGGTAATTTTGGTGAGGAGATGCCGAAATCGGAATGAATGTGAAGTTGTTGGATTGTTTGGTGAAATTTTGATGGGAAGGAGTTCACCGAGATAACTTTATCGATTGTATCGACCATTGTCGAAAGGGACGATGTGACTAATGGGATTGTGTAGATCGAAACATGCTTCGAACTGGTGGTTACACATTGAATATCAAGATTCTTTTGTAGCCAATAAGCATTCGAGAATGTTGGCTTGAGAAATGAATAGAAATCAATGTCTGCAGACAAAAAAAAATCATTTCAGCATTGATAAGAAACACGCTCAGGATATCTGAATAGTAAGGATATGAGTAAGTGGCTTTCTAATCTCGGAAAACAGCAGTGAATATGGCTTAGAAGGGTATCTACGTTGCTCTTTCTCGAGCGAGACTCCTTTGTATTCAAATTTGGAAAATATGAGAAAATATTACCATTGTTTTGTGCTGTGAAGCACGATTCTCGTTCCAGGATGTTTCTATATCGATGATTTCCAATTCCATCGAGTTCGACATGTAATTCAAAATGTATCGGATGGTTATCCTGCCTTTGCAACGCATGCTGCCATAATGAACCGTCAACATATGGGAAATATTTATTTACGTACATTTCCCTCGTTGTTGTTAATGTGAGTGAAGATTTGAATCGAAGATCCAATCGGAATTTGACAGAAGTCAAGGAGAAAATATTCGCTATGATTTTAAAGAGAATTTCATTGGATATAACATCATCGTGTGAATTTAATTCTTTTTGTTCAAGATTTAAACACAAATAATTTAAATAGGGAACTTTCCACCAAAGCTGTCCGAATGAGTAATGATGATTCTGTTCTAAACATGCCGAATCGCAAGCGAATGTTACGTCTAATTGCTCGAGATTCGGAAAGCAGTCGAAAATAATCAACAGATCTTCGAATGTCTTTACAGATATTGTTAAGCAACGGAGGTTTTCACATTTGGTTCTGATCGATTGAAGATTAAAATAATAATTATTAAAATGTAATCGTAATTTTTGAAATGAATTCGACACGCTGAATAATTTCCCACAGAGATATTCGTTGAACTGTGCAGGCAGCGATGCCAAACGGTCTTCTCCGATGTCAATGTCGAGTTCCTGCAAGCAATTCATGGTATTAAACCGCCAAGCAAGATTCTCTAATGTTTCGATATCGATCTGTCGGAAGATCAGTTGACGAAGAGAGGGAAACTGCTGATCAATCCGGTTGAATTTGTTTTCGAAGTTTCGTCCGATGTTCAACATTGAACGAGTATCGAGGTATAAGTATGAAACAGACGGAGCGAGATTGGGTAAATGATCGTTTAAAAGATGAAAACATTCCTTCTTAGATAAATGAGATAAATAGATTTGTTCTCGATAGGAAACGATCGTTCGATGAAGACGATGGTTCAAATGAAGAAAACTATCGAGAATGTTTATTGGGGATAAATAACGACAGATTGATAATAAAATTTCGTCGGGCAGATCTTCAAAACAACGTGGACGAGAATGAGAATTCGCAGATATCATCGGCATTCGGTTCACTTTCGACGCAATCGTCTATCTATAACGATAGTTTTATCAAAAACGTATTTTCAATATTTTCCAAGCAGATTTCTACTCTTAAAACTTTAACGACCAACTAGAATTTCCGCCAATAGATGACACTGTCTCACTAAATAGGAAATATATAAGAGTATAGTCTATCTTTGAGTAATGTAGTGTAACAGATACATCTGAGAGACAAGGTTTAAAATTAATGGACAGGATTGTCTTTTGTACTGTTAGTATGAAAATATTATCAAAAGGAAGATTTATTTTGAATTGAAGAGAATAACAAGATTAGATGTGTCAATGAGAGAGAAAAGAACAAAGATCAGTGTCGGATAGGAGACATTTAACGACAAAAGGGATATATTGAGTATTTTTGGCTGGAAAAATTGACTATTTTTTAATAAGGATCAATTGTATCAATTTGTTCGAGTAGTTTTGGCATAATAGGTTCTTGTCTAAATCAAAATAGAAGTGAACTAAGCAAAAAAAGGAACAAGAAACCTTACTGTCCAAGTGGTACTGAGATAATAGGAGAAATGAAATGAATATTATCATCAAGTTTATCGAATATGGTATCCTTTTTCTGAGAATTAATTTGCATTGGTATAACATTTTCTTTTTCTGGATAATCATCCTCCATTTTCTCATCAAAATTGACATTTACTTCGACAATAGTCTTCGCTTGTGATTGATCGAGTAAAGTTTCCGATTCCATTCGACATTCTCGTTCAAGACTAAGAAATGATTCATCTTCATTCGATATTGTTGTCGCTCCACTTGTAGATGTTGGTTCACTTAGTAAAAGACATTCTAAACCTTTCAACATTCCTTCATCTGTATTTGGTAACACAGATTTTGCTGTTGAAACTTGACAGCGAATGATTGTTGTATCATCATTCATGAAATCACTTGTTGAATCATCAGCACTTAGCGTTGCAATGGTGTTACAACAAGTCACAAACGAACTTGGTGTTTGTTTACTCATTTGTTCACGAAAGATTTCTCTCGCTCGTTGTCCGCAATCAATTGAAAGATAAAATCGTGTTGCGATATGATCGAATGGTGTCTTTTGTTGAGGCTGATCGATAGAACCTCGACTGATGTGTTTTGGTAAATGTTCTAGATGATCTAATGTTTTGCGGACTTGTTCGGTTCGTTCGATAGTCGTGTGCATTTGTTCGAGAGCTAATTTAAGTTTTGCAAAATTCTCATCGGAAGATGTGTGAGATGCTAGACGCTTTTCTAAGCAAATACTTGCTGCTTGGATGAAATCAGTTAGACTGATATTTGTTGAGTGCGATGATGATGATGATGATGTTTCAGTGAATTTTGGATATAAACGACTGATTCGACCCGACACTAAACGATTTTCATAGGAAATTTCTTTTGTTTTTCAAAGAAAATCTTACTGTTTTCTTGTTTGTTGACAAGATCATGAATTTGTTGATGAGTTGTTGACAGTAGACCAATATCAACACCCATTGATGGTAAAGATGTTGATAACCCATGTTTGATGAACCATTCTAGTTTATTATAAGTATCTGAATTGATTCTTGTATGAAGATCTTGAACTAAATCTGAAAAGGTTTCAAATTGGTTGTCATCGATGATTTGTGATTGGTCAAATGAACCTGAAATGAACAAAACGAAAGAAAATTATAAAGAGAGGAGGTCGATGGTTAAATCTACCGTCGATAATTTCTGTTTTCTGTTTGATCTTTTCGAGATAATCAATTAATTTGTTAATTCGTTCATCTAATTCATTTTTTGTCTTTTCATATTCAATTCGTTCACGTTTCTCATTGGCGATTTTGCTAAACAACATCATATAATGTCGTTGAGTATCCGCTTTGACCATTCGAACTTGTCGCTTGAGACGTTCTTTCGTTAAATCCATATTGAGAAAGTTTTCAGTAGTGAAAAAGCGTTCTTGAACATCGATCGGTTCTAATCGATATATCAGACATATTTGTGAGAGATAAAATAAACAAATGAAGTAACGCGGCGAACATGATGGGACCGGAATCAGTTGTGGCCATGGATATTGTTGATAAATGTCAGACTAGAGAAAAAGTTCAAGAAGTTTTTTTGCTTGAGAAATGCAAATCGACAAACCAATGATTTGAAATGTTGTTTCACAATGCGATTGAATTCTTGTTGCTTGTCGATTGCCATTGGTGGGAAACAGTGAGTTGTATCACGTGAATATTGAGCTTGTTGTGCATCTGACAGATATGTTAGAAGAAGAAAATGGGTGACAAGTCGAATCAATTCAGTGGAATTGGCAAGTTCATCGATAGAAATTTGCTGTTGCTGCGGACCGGTTCGATACCGACAGAATATAGGTGAACATTCAATACCGAGTAAAAGAAGGTTTGAATATAGAAAACGTATTGTCAGAGAGTTTTCGTCGACACCGTAGGATTCCCACAGAGTCCCATTGTTTGATTGAGTTATTTGGGTAGCGGGAGAACGACGTGGTGAGGCTTTAGGTGTACTGAAACGAACAAGACCACGTTGATGAGATGTCGGGGTTTGTTGTGGACGTGAACGATTACGATTTGGAGTTGGTAAAGGTGGACGTTGCATTTTATTTGGACACAAAGAAGAAATAAGTAGTCACTGTGAATGAACAGTGAACAACTGAATCCATGAAATACCGAAACTATAGAGAACATCAATGATTGGTCGGTTAATGTAAATAGTCAAGAAGATTTAGTAGTTCTTTTTTTAAGAACATTGTTTTTCTCTTCTCTCTCGGGAACATTTGCACATGGAATCTATCATGGCATTAGAAGCACAAGCTGGTCAAACATTCCCAGTGATGCAAATCAATCCTGAGTCGACAGAGACTGTGTAAGTTCAACAAGAAAATTCGTTTTAGTTTTAAGTACACTTATCGACATTTCAACAAGTTCATATTTAAGATTTTCATGTTTTTTTCTCACCTTTGTTCTCTATAAGTACATTTCTTTCCAGTGTTCTTCTACCACGAACGAATTCTAGTAAGTTTGTTCTAATATATATAGACTATATATTATCATGTTGTCGCTTCTGTTTGTTTTTCGTTTTGATTTATCGTTTGCACGATTTGTAGTTATGTTTCATGTTATTTTTCTTGAAGAGATCTCAACTTATTGATGGTACTGTGTTTTCTTTTCTAGCGACTTTGCATAGACGAAGCGTTGAACGCACGGAACGTGAAAAAGATGCTGAACAAGGTTAGGAAAATACTGATTTTGCTCTTTTTGAGATTGATTATTTCGTTTTGAATTCGATAGCGACTCCACCAGCATATTCCATGGAAGAAATAACTGCTCGTCGTCGAGGAAAACGAGCGGAGGATCAAAATTTACCGAAGAAAGTTCGGTAGGAGCAAAAAATCGAAATTTATTTGTTGAATCTTTGTTTGAAGGAGCTTTTACAAAAAACAGGATAAACTTATTTCAACATTTGAACGTGTCCATCGTCTTCACTCCGATAAACAAAGCGACAATGAGGATGACGAAGATGAAGATGAAGAGAATGGAGATAAAAGCGACAAGAAAGACAAACAGGATGTCATCATTCGACGAAAACGAATCAGTTTCTATACGAAACTATCATTATTAGTTAACATTGTAAGTCTAATATAATTGGCATCGATCGCTCATCGAAATGATCATTTTAGTGTCTTCTTGCGATGAAGATTGCTGCGGCTATACTCTCCCGTTCTTTGTCGGTGATTTCCTCGGTAGTAGATAGCGGTGTTGATCTGACAACAAGTGTAATTCTGTTTTGGGCAACACACGCAATGAATCGACCTGATCGAGTTTTGTATCCGATAGGTAAAACAACGAACCGATTTGCTTTCTCTCTATAAAATTGTGTCTATAAATCGATAATTACAGGTCGAAGACGACTTGAACCAATCTCCATCGTTATTCTTTCGGTTATTATGAGTTCAGCTAGTGTGATGGTCATTTCCGAATCTTTACAAACGATTGCGCAGGATGTCGATGCATTTCGAGGCAACTCATCAGAAACTCTGAAAAATCTTCATGAACTCGACATGAGAACAATTCCAGTAACCATCATGTGTACAACAATCGGTATGAAAGGGTGTTTTTGTTAACATAGAAATGATCTTTGGTATTTTCAGTATCAAAACTGGTCCTGTTCATATTATGTTCTCGTGAAAGTAGTGTGACATTGAATGCGTTAGCACAAGATCATCGGAACGATGTGTTTTCGAATGTTATTGCACTCATATGTGGTGTTGCTGGTCGGTTTTCCATTTCACTGACAACTTCATTTGTAGTATTTGTCTAGGCTCTCACGCAAGAGTACTCGTTGGAAATTGGAAACAATATTTCATATTGGCTGATCCTATTGGCGCTGTTGTTGTTTCGATCTATATCTTAGTAACTTGGGTTCGTCAAGCCAGTCGTAAGTTTGATCCAGTTGGCCAGAAGGTTTTTTGACTTTTCTCGAGATTTATAGAACAAGTGAAACGATTGACCGGACATACGGCTAAACCGGAGTTTCTTCAACAGATAACATGGGTTGCGTTTCATCATTCCCCTCAAATCTTGAAAATTGACACAGTTCGTGCATTTCATTTCGGAACTAACTTTCTCGTCGAGGTATCTTGTCTATTCATTCTCGATTTCTTGTTACTTAATGAATTCTTCTAGGTCGACATTGTCCTTCCAGAAGATATGTCACTTCGAGATGCTCATGATATCGGCGAAGCATTACAAAAGAAAATTGAACGCATTCCGGAAGTCGAACGAGTATTGAATTGATTTCTGAAGTACATCTTTGCCTGATGTCTTTCTTTGTATTTCAGGCATTTGTCCATCTTGACTATGAATTCAGTCATAAAGCTCATGATGAACACAAAGTTGTTTGAAAACTCAATAACCCACTGTGTAGCAAAATATTACATTATGAGATGTCTATCCGATCCAGCTTTCTCGTCCTTATTCTTTACAATGCAATTTATCTTCGAATGTTGTTCAAACAGTATTTGCATAATATTTATAAGCTTTTTGTCTTTTGCTAAACGTATTTTGTAGAATTTCCATGTAGCACCCCTTGAGAATGTTGTCTCAGTGACAAAACAAAGCATTTTCTAGAATGAAAATAAATAATTTTATGTAATGGAATCTAATTCATATATTAGAAACTTTTCTGTTTTGCCTACGAAATGTGTCTTACTGGAATTGATTCAGACTTTCATACGTACCATGCCTCAATCGAACATTGTCTCACTTCTTTCTCGATCGATTATAGTTTCGAACATCTCCGAGATCTGCTCATTTGCGTTTCTATACTCGTCATTCGTTTCAGATAGGGTCATGTCCTCAACTGAATGTACTGATATGCAACGTGTTGTCAAAGAATTTCTCAGTCGCTTGCATTATCTGTCGATATTAACTAAGGAAGCTGAATATGGTTATTCAAATGCATTGCGATTGTATACATCAGTTTATGAGCTTGGACGTCGTATTTCTCTTCATCCTGATTATCGACAAATGCTCACAGATGAAGATAAAACTACTTTTAAACAATACTTTCCAACTGGCTTCGTCAAACTGGTTGATTACACTCCGGGACTTGTAGGCAATATCGAACCATCCGATTTGAATATCGCTCGAACACGACGATCACAAATATGGTTTCTGAAAAATGAACTTCTTGATTTATACAAAGAAATCAATGGAAATGAATTAACGACGGAAATACAGAGTGCTCTCGATAAGTTACAAACATCAGATAATATGCTCGACTCGGATATTTCCGATTGGATACGACCAGACTATGATGAAGCGGTAGATAAATCAGAAGATGTTCCAAATCTAAACGGTGTTCCACAGAGTCATGATTGGTGGACTGAAGAACATCGACGAAGATGGGAAAACAGCAAAGAATAAAACGATACACTGGTCCCATTGTAGCCGATAAAGTTTTTTATGCAATAAAAGAACGTGTTTTTTGTTGTTCAAATCAATAAACGTTGAGAATCTAGATTTATTATGATTAGTGATGATTTTCTCTACTTCTACACTACTGGCGTGTAAATCAAAATGAGAAACAAAACAAAAAACTTGAATGTTTCATAAAAGTTCGATTTCCTCCAAAATTCCCTCCCGTAAACTTTCCGCTTGTCGGGGAAATTTCAGCGAATTTTTTAAATATCCTGTAAAAGCTTCATAAAAGAAAGCTTGATCGACTTCGTCATGTATTTGATCCGACATTCCAATACAAGCACGGTAATCCGATTGACAAAGAAAAACTGATCCATTAAATTGTCGCATATAAACTTTTCCTTTGTTTAAACTATTGCTATCGGTTTCTTCTCTTCTGGTTTTGAACTCCACGAGAAATTTTCCTTCGTTGTCCTTTATTTGAAGATCAATGCCAGCCTTGTATATTCCTGATTTCGTTAAGTATTTATCCATGGCAGTTGCAATGAATGGTGCTGCTGAAAGAGGAAGTGGATAACCATATTTGATAGCTGTTTGAAGGATCTTCTTGTGTTGCCGAGTATCTCCATTTGTAATGACTTTGTCGATAATCGAATGTAATTCTGAAATTAAGAATTGTGTTTTTCGTTTTGATTGATTTGTAGCTTTGTATTCGAGAAGTGCTTGTTTAAGGTTTTTATCATCTTGATTGAAATTTAGCTCTGCTTCTGAGGACGGAGTGGTTACATCGCGTAAACTTGCAATGTAATTCAGAATAATGGAGATGGTTTTGGAAATAAACATTGAATTAACTGCGTTTACGACGAATTTCTGTATGACTGCTTGGAGAATATCTTTCCAATTTCGGTATTCACCTGCATCAATGAAGATTTCATTATCGTTATCTTCTGATTTGTAACCTTCGTCAGTCATTCGTTTTTGCAGATCTTCCAAAACTTGATCAACGCCATCGACAACAAAGAACTGGATCTCCTTCGGAACTCCTTCAACTGGCGAGAATTGGATTTTTTCCAATGACGTTTTCGTTCGGAAAGCTGCTTGAATTGTTTGAAAGTATAAGATTTGCTTTTTCCATGCGAAAAAGTTGATTAAACTATTGATTTCGCTTTCAAGATCTTTTACTGCAAAACTTTTGTTCAATGATGATTTGACAAACTCAATTGTATATTGATCATTGGACAATTGTTGAAGTTTAGCCTGAACAGTCGACATCAATGATTCCACTAAAGGTATTCGCCAAGATTCGATATTCTTACGAATAAGCTAGAGAAAAAAAGAAAGAAACACTTCGAAAATGAGTTTAGGTAACTCACTTCGTCTGTATTCAGATTATTCGCATTGTTTTTTGCTTCTTCTCGAGATATATCATGAAATGTTCTCAAAATTGTATATTCATCAGTAAGTTCGTATTTTTCTATAGCAATTCGTCGGGCCATTGTTCGGCATTGGTTGTAATAATGATAACTTTCCGAAGCAGCTGTACAAAAATTGCTCATTTTCGTGTAAATGAACGTTGCCATCTCAGCTGCTGATTTCCATATCGCTGTTGACGAAACCCATGATCCGAATTGATTCGCTAACTCAATTCCACTCTTGACAACACCTGTTTCTCCCAACCAATTCACTGCTTCGGTCGCTTTTTTCGCAACATAATTTACCGCTTGACTTCCTTTGTCAATGAGCCATTCTGCGCCTTCAACGGTTTTATAAACACCTTCAACGACAGCTTCCTTAGCAAACTGCATAGTTGCCACTGCTGCTTTGCCTACTTTCGTATTCAAAAGTGGCTCAGCTATTCGATAAATCATTTCACCTGCTTGTTTTACATACGGTGCTGCAAAATCAGCTATCTTGTTGTATATCTTTCCTAAAAACAACTACTCATGTATCGATGTGAACCAAATCAGAAACTTTACCTGGAAGTTGAAGAGTAAATTGAACGACAGAGTAACCAAACGAAAGCACAGCATTTACAGCTGATTTGATTGCTTTCCAACAATAAGCAGCGCCAGCGATGACTTTGTTCAATAGCCATGGACCAGCTGTTTCTTTCTTGCGCGACACAACCACTTTCAATCCATTGCTAATAATGTTCCGTAAATCGGAATCAATTGGAAAACCTTGATCAAGAACATAAGTTGCAAATGGAGTCATTTCCATATGATAATCCGTTTGATCGTACAATTTCAATCGATTCGAGTGAACAATCGATTTGATCGTTTCGGCATGACGAAAATCCTCATAGTCAATATCATCCATATACTGTGAAGAAACACAGATTCTTGATGGCATTGCAAGTCCACAATTGATGAAATCGTCGAATACTTCACCGAATGGATTTTCCGGTAGGAAGATACGTGCTGGACCTGCCGAAGGATCTTTATTGGCTTTTTCCAATGAGATACAGATATTCTCCAGAGCAAAGGTATACGCAAATCGATCAGACAAAAATTCATCCACTTGATCAGCGATACACAATGGAAGTGATGAACAATCTAGTTTGGAATTCAGTCGCCAAATCTTGTAATGGTAAGTTTCTAATATCTTGTTTTCTGTTAGATAAGTATAGAATCTTTTGATTGTTTCTTCTTTGTCGGGTTTCGATGGAACTTCGCAATATGCAGCTATGACTTCTTCGGTCACATTCACTAATTTTCGATGATCTTTAATCTGCTGAAGTCTACCGGCATTTTGATAGAGTAGTTTCAATTCGATTCGAGCGCTTTCTGCAGGTGGTTTTGCGTCTTTTTCCAAATGACTTCTTACTGATCTCTGCCAGGTATTCTGATCACTGGTCAGTCGTGTCATTTGTACTGTTTGAAGTTTGAGAATTTCATTCTGTTGTAAAATACTCATAATCCATTTCACGCCGTCATCATCAACATGGAAATATTCTTTGATATCATCGATTGTCACACCATCAAAATCCGAAAAATATGACATTCGCTCAGGAATGATTAAAACATTTGCCAATTTATCTAATTTTAATTTTCCTTTGTCTACATGTTGGTAGATTTCACTTTTCAACGTTTCATTCTTTTCAAGCAGAGCTTCAACATCACGCAACTTATACATCTGATCCATTTTCGTCTCGTCAGAGTACCGCAATAGAGTCTTGATCTGCTTAGGATCCGTCAGTGAGTATGGTTTTAGTTGTTTGAACTTTTCCAGAAGTTCTTTACTTAACACCGATTGATCAATAATCATCAAATAAACATCTGCGTTGTAAAGGGTTTGTTGTACCTTCAACTCGAACCAAAAGTCACTTTTCGTTGATAAAGGACATTTATCCAGAAGACTCGCTCGGTCAAGAACAATATAGTCATTGAATGCGAGTGATGTCGGATCTTTTGAGATTTCGTTTATCAAAGTCTAGAAAAGAGAAGTTCAAAACTTGTATCTCAAGTCGATTTTAGTTACTTCGATTTGTTTTCCGTGCAATTTGTACTTTCGGCGGAAAGTCTCGAGTTGCCAATTGTCCGCTGATCGACCGGTAAGGACAACTGGACTAACCAAGCCTTGCCGGGACAATGAATCATAAATTTCTTTCGAATATGCTTCGCTAATCTCGTTATCTGCGAACATTTTTGGGTGACAGGGCGCGCCAAGAAGATAATCGATATTAGTCAATATTAATTGTATATAAGTCGTGGCAGATTTCAGCTGCGATGCAAATCCTGATGATTTTGAGCAATTGACCGGCAATTTTTCCATCATTTGAGTAACAATGGCTGCTTCATTGTGTTTTCGTTGCAAACGACGAAGAAACAACGTTCGTGCTTTGTAAAAGTATTCAATTGCTTCGTCGATATTCTCTTTGAACGCGTGCTCTTCTTTTAACTTCAACGATTGGATTTCTTTTCGTACTCCATCGAAGTTTCTCATTCTCATACAAGCCTTATAATAATAAGCTTCACCGCCGAACTCATGTCCATCTTTAAGAATCGTGTCGAAGATATCATCTGCTTCTTTAAATCCGTTTTTATGGTACATGAGAATGATGCCAATCGTTAATAACGATTGCGGAGCATTGATCCAAGTTTTGGCGACTTCGAAACAATTTGATAGATTTCCGAACTGATGCGTGTTTAGAAATTCATCGACAGAATCGGTTATTTTCTTTTNATTACCATTATCCAGCAACATATTATCAACTTCATCGACGATCACAGCTGTTTGTGTTCGATCACCTTTGATCATTTTTTTATAAAATGTATGAAGAAGATGATCGCGTTGAAAACGAGCGATGTCACCATAGACGATATTAGCAGTATAGGCTTTCTTGCGTGCTTCAGAATCGTCATTGCGAATATCAGCGACTGTTAGATCAAGTTCCGTATAGATATCAGCCATTTCATCAGCATCACGTTCAGCGAGAACTGGTGAACTTGTAATGATGTCGACATAACGTTGTCCAGTTTTGCAACGGATCGTTGCAATTGCTGCGATGATGAAAGATTTACCTTCACCGGTATTAACCTGTTCGAGAACATGTTTCTCACTTTCAACAGCGCATAAAATAGCCATCTTTTGTGTGTCCCGTAGACGCTTTTGTTTAATTTTGAACAACGCTTCTTCGAACTTATTTAACCAATAAATATTTGCTGATTTTGTACTGTCATTTGTTTTCAGAAGTGTACCGATTGCTTGAATTCTTTTTCTCCTCTTTTCAGCTTCTTCTGGAGTATCATGTAGACCAGTGATTCTATTCACTAATGCATCAACTTTTCGATCACTCATATCAGCTAAATCATCATAATTGACATGATTCACCGATATTTTACCAGTTGATAACCAGTTAATCAACTTCGCTTGCTCGATTTCAGTTGTTATTAACTGATATTTCGTTGATTTATCTTTTAATCCTGGATAATCTTTTGTCTGAACGAATCGTTTCTCTAAGTCTTTAAAAAACTGATCATCGGGCACGATTTCTCTCGTCACAATCCACTGAGTATAGAGAGCAATGAGTTTCTCAGGTATAAATGTTGCTTTTTCAATAATTTCTCTTAGCTTTTGTTCTTCTTCTTTGAATCCTTTGTTATCTAGAACACCGAGATAATAACCAACCGATCCATACTGCTGTAATAAATATCCAATTTCACTCCACTTTTGTTTTTGAGCAATAGAAATCCATTCGCCTAAGCCAATCTTCACTAATTGCTCCGATCCATTTGATGCATGTTGAAGCATAAGAATAATTTTGTAAAGATCTTCTTCATCAATCGGCGAACGATATTCGCTTACTTTCACTGCTAGTAAAGCCTTAAAACGAATATTTGGTATCAACTGAATGCCACCGAAAATTCTTGATGCAACACTGAATCGTCTTCCGAAATAATATTCAAGTCGAATATATAAGAGAACATCGACAAATTTCGATTGTGGAACTGAATTTACAAGTAAAAGAAGGTATTTCATATCACAATGATGTAATGTTTTCAAACTGGAAACTGATGTGAAGATAAATTGTAGTTCGAACAATGAAAGGTGACAACCGTCGACCCATAGCCGGTAATAAAGAAGATGAAGAAGCGATTGGTCTTGAGTGACGTTGATATAATTTTCAATCCATTCGATGACAGCGCCATGGAGCGGTGGAGGAAAGAATGATGTGAATGTATATATGTTCTCCCTCGTGCTGAAGTCTCTCTTGACTTGAGCTTGCATTTCAGCAGTCAGAACCTTTTCGTACTTCGATACTATCGATGTTTGAGCAGCCACTAATATTCGGAATTCTTCATCAGGTGCAATGCCGATCGGTGGTCGTTCATTTTGTAGCCATAATGTTTCACAGGAAGAAGCCTGTCGATTGAGAATTTCCACGTTTTTTAATGTTTGAAAACTGATCTGTCGATAGGAACATAATTTGATGTTCAAATGAAGTGATAGAAGATATCGAAACGGTGCGCAAGCCAGATCATGTTTCAACATGTACACTTCACATTGATTACTGTCGGATGGTACAGGATGATGGTTCTGCTGGGTCAGGAACCATTCGAGTTCATTTGAATCATCAAAATATATATCAGATGAATATTTGCCCTGTTCTTTCAACATCATCGCATTTATAATATAAAGCTTTTGATTGTAGACAAGAAGCGATTTTGCTAAATAGTATATTTTAATCAGATGTTGTGTTTGTTCAATTGCTTTATCATCATTCGATGAGCCGAAAGTATGTGATTTTACACTACTAAAGAAACCACTTTTTTCGAAACTCGGAGGAGTGCCGAATCTGGCCAAATAATCTTTGTTGTTTGAAATCAGTTGATTGACTGGTTTGATAGTTTTATTCCAATATTCCAAATCAGCCACGATCGCTTTGAGAAAATTTTCGAATTGAGACTCCAATGTCGTTTTCTGTCGACTTTGATGAGTTGCCGGTCGATCAATTTCATCTTCACTGTCGATGGTATGCTCCTTATCTTTCTTCTCCTTCTCCTGTTTCTTTAATAAAGCATCTTCCAGAAGCCATGCTTTCAAACTATCCAAAAACTTCTGAACAATATCTCGATCTGTCCACTGAAAGTTCGCGTCTTGAGCGAATGATGCAAATGATGAAATATAATTTGGCTTGACATTTTTCACAAATGTATTTAAAGCATCCAAAAGCTGAATATCCACCTCGTTGGCCGAATATTGTGAGAAGAATGCTTTGATGACTAACTTAACATTGTTCGAATCTGTGTAGGCAAGCAGTGTACTACATAATGGATTTTCTTTGATGCCAAAATAACTGCTAGCAGCGGGCATGAGGCCCATTGATGGATGCACATCTACAGTATCCAATTCTTTGGTAATGTCTCGTAATTGGTGGCGCAAACGAGAAAGGTTGAATTTTCGTTTGCGACGTTCGGATAAACTTGAGCTGAATTCTTTGATTTCATCGTAACTCTTCCCATTGGCAATTTTCGATTGAAGAGTAGCGACTAAGACAAGAGCAAATGAAGATTGCATTTGTTGACGATACCGCATCTGATGGAAGAGTGTATTCAAAGCAATCGTTTCCAACAATACCGGCGGAAATTCCACGCTGAATAGATCAAACAGAATCTGCGCGCAGTTGTTTACTGTTGTTCGACGCCCAACAGATTTCACATAATCAACATACGTTTCAGGAGTATAAGCAGGACGTTTCTAAAACAATTCAAATTATCTGAACACATGAATGAGGGACTAACAATTGCTTACTTTCTTTTCACTGTCAGGCGTATATTTTGATAATTTACTTGTTTCTTCTTTCTGTCGTAGTATTACCACTTCTTCGGCAACATTTTCTGCCGTCTCCTCCTCCTCTTCTTCTTCGTCTTCACCGATAGCTGCATGTTTCGTTGTCTCACATGCACTAACGAGAAAGGCATTCTGCTTTCCAAAGACAGTTTGCGCTTCGGACAAAACCTTGCTAATAATAATCGATTGTTTTGCTACGGCTTTTGAAGTAGATGATTGAGCAGTTTCTCTTCTCTCTGCTTGCTCTGCACATCGTTGTGTCTGATCAATTGTTTCCCCGTCGCCGAACTTGATAAAACAGGCACTTTCTTTTTCTTTATAACGCCGATAACCATTCAAACGACTTTTGAATTCAGCTTTGTAAAAATAATCCCAATTCAGTTTTCTTTCTGAACTACCTTCGTAGTGTTTTGAGGCTTCTTTTGCTGATCTATCTATTAGCCCCATATCGTTTCCATTGATACCGTGTCTACCGCTCTGACCAACTTTTCCATTGTCACCATTAGGTCCACTTTTATTACCATGTCGTATGATATTTATTTGAAATTCTTCACCAGTTTCAGGATTTTGAGCTGCACACGTTCCATTATAACCACCTTGACCACCAACACCATTGCTTCCACCTTGTGTTCCGCTTGTTGCTTTGGATCCGCATATGAAAAAATAGAGTTCGTACGTTGAATAAGTCCATCCTTTGTCAGCAGCAAAAGAATAGGTCATCGTGCGACCATTTTCATCTTCGTATGTTCGATAAATATACTCTCCACTACTACTAGAATCACTTTTTCTCGACCAATTGGAAGGTGGCGAATAATTTGCAAAATTTGACCAGGAATCACGGTATAAACTGTAATAATTAACAACCAAATTATCAAGATCAGATTTTGTAACACCGACACCATCTTTTCCATTACAGCCGTCACCACCATCTTGTCCGTCTTCGCCCCTTCCGCCATTCAATTCGACCGTTAATTTTGAAGGATTCAACATTTTCGTTGCTAATATAGCAATATTTCCACTAGATTCGCCGGCTCGACCATCCGTACCGTCTGCACCTCTGTATGCTGTAGACGTTGCACTCGCCGCTTTTGTGTTTCCTGGACTGTACCCTGCACCCGACAACCGAATCCTTGAATTTTGCCCGATATAAATCACTTTGGCGTGTAAAACTAAACTCTTTCCTTCCCATATATTGTTAGTTAGATCACAATCAATAGTTAAAGCATCCTCAACGAAAATGGATGCCTGAGTTGCATTGTGCGCTTTCATCAAATCTTCAATCTGTTTTGTCCATTCACTTAGATAAACAATTCTTCCAAGAAGTTTCACGATGCCATCTTTGACAGTAAGTTCGGGAACAGCCAAAAATATATCGAGAATTGTTTGAATCTTGTTGGGTTCGACAAAATTATCAGTCTTTATATCATTCAATAGACGTTGCAATTGCCGCCAATTAGTATCATTTTCAGCAGAAGGTGGACATTTTAGGTTTTTCAAGTTGAGAACAGTTAGACCGCTTTGCTTCCATTCAATGAGAACTTTCCATGCAGCTAACGGCATGAATCCGCTTTGAAACCATTGGACAAGAAAACTACGAAATTTATCTTCACTTTGAGCAGGTACGAATTTTTCCCGTAATCTGATAAAAAGTCGGTTGAATTCGATCAGTAAACTTCCAACAGCATCCTCGACTTTCAGATTAATTAATCGAGTTTGTAAATCTGGTGGGAAAATATCTATAAGCTTATCTGCTTGTTCAGCAGCAATAAATCTTCGAATAAAATCACTTGATCCATTTTGAAGATTGGATGCTATCCAATTATTAGCTGTAATGCGACAGAGATTTTTATTCTGTCGAATGAATTCTTTGACGACGAAAGATTCGATGAGAGATGATAGGTCAGATTCACCACTAGAGAATAGCTCTTTAATCAATCCGTCGGCGGTTAAGTTTGCATTTTTTGTTACTGAATCGCCTATAGCCAATTGCAGTTCTTCCTGTGTGTACTGATAAGTCATGTAATCAATTAAGGAAGCTTTTCAAAATTAAGTGCTTGAGTATTCAACTAAATCGATTGAAATGGTTCTAAATTCTATCTGAAAAGATAAAAACTATTTCAAATGAAACTTATAAATTATTTCAGTCAAAGACATTGGGCTTCGAATGCATGGAAACATTTATTTGAATGTATGATGAAAATTTAGGTTGGCTGCAACAAATATCGATCTAGAAAGTCATGCGTATAAGCTGCAAAACAAGGATTACAGTTCAGTAACTAAGTGAAAAATGAGGTAAAAATCTTAATTTTCGATTGTCGCAGTCTGTTGTAAATGTTGTAAGAATGAACAAATATATGAAGTAGAAAAATATCAAATCGCATCACACAATCATACTTTCTCAGCAACTGTTCGTATCTATGCTATTTTGGAAAGTGTGAGGCCCTTGTTTGCTCGTTACCAAAAGTGAAACCAACATGAAGACGCTGCCCAAAACTTCGTGCATAAGATTGTTTAAGATCACCTGTTTGGGTATGACTTATTCCGATGTAATTTTCTGTTGTGAAAATATCAGTTGCATATGTACCAAAATATTCATTGATTGTTAATGCTCGACCTGGAACAAAATCTTTTTCATGCTTCCACCAATGATAAGACATAGAAAGAGGACTACTCCATTGACATCTAGTTTCTGCAGGAAGCGCATTCACTGCATTGATTCTTGCGTTGAAATCATTTCGAAATTTTTCATAATGTTCACCACTACCAGAAGCCACACCATTGACAAAGGCTCGACGTTGGGCATTACCTTGAAGGTCTCCCTACAAGAAAAACTTCACAACTGCGAATTATAAGAAACAAGCGATACTCTTGCCGTATCCAGAGCTTCTGTAATCGACGCTATATCACTGGGTGTTCTAACTTGTCCTGCGAAAGCAGGATCATTTCCAAGTTTTTCGGCAGCAGTTAATAAACTCGGACCTCGGTCACCGTATGTTTTCAGAACACGATTTAACCGGTCATAATCACTAGTCTTCATATTTGCGAATATTCTTTGACCTTTCACAGTAATATCTTCATGATTGGGTACTCCAAAATTGTCTCGTAAAGTCTTTTTCACATCCTCAACATTGACACGATAACATAAACGTTCATTTCTTGCGTTTGTAAATGTGTCAATGTCCTTTTTGAAGGCAGCATCATTCGCAGGGTTACTCGCGTCATCACGATGATCGGCTGATGATTTGAAAAAATATTCTTTCCGATGACTTGAACACTTGTCTAATTGCTGTTGTAATTGGTTTTGTTCATCAGCTGTAATTGTACCATTCAGTTGCTTTTTTGCTAGATCCCCTAGCTGCTTAAAATCAGTTTTTTTTTCATCTGTACCACTTCCTTGTCCTAGATCTCCGATCATGTCATCGATTTTTTTATTCAATGCATTTTGAGATGTTGACTTTGCCTTGTCCCACGATTCATCAAAATCTCTTTGAGCTTGGCCATTCTCAGGTGTAAACTCATGGACAAGATTTCTCGTTGCTTCCTGTTGTTGTTCGACAGGCAAATTCTTTATGCCGTTCAGTTTACTTTCGAATTCTTGTCTTCTCTCAGGGGGTACCTGATCGGCAAACTCGTCCATTAAGCTAGTGTGCAATGCACTTGCCTGAGATTTCGAAATTTGATTGAGTTTTTCTGTAAATACCGCTTTGCCAATATCATTATAAGCTAATGGAGAAATGTCAATCTTTCCGTTAACAGCAAGTCCATCAGCAGTACAAGTAACCTGACTACCAGTTTTGCGAATCAATTCGAAAAATTCTGTAGGATTTTCAATCTTGTTAAGATTCCGAATCACATAGGCTTTATCATCAGATGTTGCATGCGATTCTAGCATTTTTGACATTTCTTGTTTTGCTTCATCAGACTAAAAGCTCCATCAGTATTGATAAATACTAGTTTAGAACAATTCTTACTTTGAGGCTTTTTTTCATTTGTTTCAAGTGTTGCATTTGCTCTGATTCAAAAACAGCTTTCAGAGTTATTGGTTTTGTAGAAACGTTCACGAGCATGAATAAGCTCATCGATAGTTGATAATAATCTAGCCACGTACGTTCTCGTTTAGTCACGAGATCGTATATGGACGAAAGTAATGCAAGTGAACTAGAGCAAATCGTAAAAACATTGGCTACAGCAAACATAGCTCTCTGTGCTGCACCAATTTCTAAAAATGAACCACATTTTAGCAAATGAAATAAAATGACACGAGTAACTCACTTTCCACAACTTCAGCATATGTTTTCCCTTCTCGTGCGTATCGTACGGCCTGTGTTCGCAGTACTCCAGTGTAGCTAGATAATGCTGCGGAGATTAAAACCAAGACCTCAGTGCGAATGCTTTCGTCGTGTAATGCTTTGTCATAAATTCCCACACTAGCTCTAAAACAAACGGAAACAACTAGGTGAATAGACCACTACTAGATACTTAGCTAGAACTTACCCAACTACGTTGTAGCCTGTAAGTAAAAAAGAGCCCGCTTGAATTACAGCCAAGGCTCGTGCAGAAAATAGGACTGGAGCAAAAAATGTGACAACACCTGTCACGGACAGAACTATTCCACCTACCATAACAACTGTATCACCGACAGCTTTAATACGTTGAAGTAGATTACAGGAAGGTGTTTCACCCAGTTCCAAAGGTACTCGGCCGTTGTTATTTATTTCGGCAAGTGTATATGTTCCATTTACAGGACCCAATGTGGCGACCTTATGTAATGTGTTATTTTCTTTATAATCTTTAAAGTCAACGTAAGTTCTGCCATTTTTATCAATGTATTTTTTGCGACCGTTGATTCGAAACACTACGAGTATTTGAATCACATGATACAGTATTTCAAATATATTCTTTACCTGGTTCTTCACTTGCATAGACTTTATCATCTCCTTCCACCAAAGTTGCAGTTGATATATAAATAACACTCATGAGGATTTTTTCAGAACTATTTGAATGTTTGATAAGTTTTTTCTTTAGTTTGCGAACCTGAAGTCTTTCACCACGTTCATAACTATTAAGAGGAGACGAAGGAGTTGCTTTAGTGCCTTTCTAAAATAGTCAAACGACTGCATTACTCAATGTATACGAATTAACGAAACCTCTGGCGTTCTAACACCGTAAATTGTCACTGCAATTCTTAACTCCAGATCACCCCCATCTGCAGGTTCATAGGCAAACCATTCTGTACGATTATTATCCTTAACATGAGCATCTTGCATTTTGATAGCATCGTCTTTCCATTTTTGTAGCCGTTCATCACTCCAATTAAAATAAGTTCTACCTTTTGGATCATCTTCTGGAGGAGAGACATATTCTGGTGTCCATGGACGCATACCTGGTTTATATATCTGAAAACGAAATAGAACAAAAAGAAACAGAAAACAATGGCAGTTGAAATGTTTAAGAAAGAGAGTGTGTTGTATGATGACGCGGAAATATAATCAGAAAGCGAAACGTGTATCTAAGTTAATTCTTCTCTGAGATGTTCGTAAACCTTCCATATCTAAGTCATAAGACAAGTACGGACGTCCGATCTGATGCTGTGGAGCTAAATACTCGCCGGTATGCAATTGAAACGGTATAGTTCTTTTACGACGTAGATTAATTTCATCTGAATGCAGGCGCTCTCTTCATTCGTCAGCACTGACAAATGTGTACTTGTATACAATGAAACTTGCGTTTCGTTAAATCTTTTATCTTTTTATCTAAACTGATAGTGTTGCTTACTCTGCGTGGGTAAAATCACATAATGGGCAGCTTCATATCCATCGATGTGAAACCTTATTTTTTATCTTGAGTGTGGGTGAGGGTGAGGGTGTGGGTGGGTGTAGCCGACAATGGCATTGTCGGGGCAATTTGAACGGCATCCCTTGCCGTTAGTTGGCTGATAAGTCGTAGTCTTATAGTGGGTAAATAATTATGTAGTATTTAATAGTCAGATGCCGATTACTTAATAGTCCGTTGATTGATAGTAGGTAATCGGTTGGCAGATATTTAATTAGCAGTTACATGATAGTTAATGATTAGTCGCTCAAGGATTTACGATCAATCACTGACGAGTTGATAAGCGAAAAATTCGAAACTTGGAATCTAGATTTAGAAGTTTAAAAGTTTAAAACTTGAATACTCGAATTCTAAATTTAGAAGTTTAGAACTCGAATCGAATTAACGATTTCTACACTACTCCATCCTTTGGATTCGCTGACCCTTTTCTGAAAGACTTTTCCGAATGCTGAACACATTCAGAGACTTCGAAAGAGAAAAAACGCACTGCGATTGCTACTAGTGCTCAACTGAATCATGGCACTATGTCACACACTAGAATGAATAGGATGCAAAAGTCTTTTTAGGAATCAGACCGATTAGCCATTTGTCAGTGGATAATTCTCCAGAACTAACTATATTGACTGAAAAATTCATCGCTCAACGGCTAGTCACACGGCCACTCATGGCGAACCATTGATCTTTGTCATCTGTTTTTCTATTTTCATATCACGCGCATGGAAATTTTCATAAATGCTTTACTAAGTCACTCATAGACGGACGATATACAGTAGACTACTTGAAAAGTTTGAACATTCGCCTGTGTCTTCCGGCGATAAACCGATTCTTTTCTCTCCTGTCGACAAAATGATACCTTGTCGAATATTTTCATTGAGGAATATCCATTCGTCAAATCCCTTTCAAAATTATCTGAAGCCTGGCAAGGTTATTCTAAGCGTACACTTTAGGATTATTGTAACATTTAAACGCCTAGTCGTTGACGCACATGATCAGTTTTCATAGCTTTTCCATATAAAGAAGTAGCTCGTTGATACTGTGTCGATCTGTGATCGAAGTTATCAAAACCCTTCGTAACTGTGCAGTTTACAGTATATATTCTATTGCTCTGTTCAATTTGAAGCGCTGATAATGTGCAATCCCTATTCTCGAAGCTCGAAAACACATCAATTATGTTCGTTGAAAAACCATTGACTTTCGTTGAGACAGTGATAAATCTCATCTTCCAAGTAATTTTCAAAATAAACGTCTAGTCGTTCGTCGACCTCCCTTCGGTCGGTCACTCACGGCTAGCCGTTGCCATGCTGTTTCTGTTATTCCTTTCGCCTTTGATCAACTTTCAAACTGAACGATTGGGTTTTCTTTTATTGTCGCTTCCACAGTCATGATCTTCTATTCATTCGACTACCAAAAGAAGCTAGATAAGAAAGTCTTATTATATGATTTGCTTCGAAAGGAACATCTTTCATAGCGCTGCATGTGTTCAGAATACTGTTTCTACAGTCGACGCGTGTGTAGTTACTAAGATGGAATTCCACCGACGGGTATATCACTTTGCGAGCTACGTCTACTAAATTCCCATGAAAGGACATGATGTAAGTAGCCTACAAAGCAAAGATGATACTAAGCTCATATCCCTTTTTTGGATCTCTTCAATTAGAAACATCATTATTTACAATGCATTAGATCTTTTCGTGTAAGTTCTTGAGCTACTATCTTTGCACATATGACGTCCGTGAATAGCGTTCAGCTCACCTTCTTCTACAAAAGATTTTAGAACAAGTAAAGAAAAATATCTCCTTTGTAAAGAGGAAGGAACAAGCCCAGACTCAGCGAATAAGACGAAATTCGCCCTCAAATTCGAATTTCCCGACGTCAGAAATCCTTCGGTCTACTCCGAAAATGAATGTTAATAAGTCGTGGCTAGTTAATGAAAAATTAATAATTAATTAAGCAACACTAACGTCAGATTCGAGATCCTCGACCCTGATTACCCTTCGGTCGAGCCTTACTTGACAACGAAGAAAATTTTCATTACTTAATTAGCTAATTAGAATTTCGAGAAACTAACCTCGGATTCGTGATCCTCGACCTCGAAAACCCTTCGGTGAACCCTTATAAAAAAATATCTTTTTGCAAAAAAGTCAACCGTTGTCGCAAAAAACAGGACAGATAGTTTTTCCGGAAAAACTAATATCGGATTCGTGATCCTCGACCTTGATTACCTCAGGTGAATCATTTCCGTATGGTTATCTCTATGGTTTCATTGGTTTATAAAAAGCTGCCCCCAACCATCAGTGTGAAGCTAGCACGAAGGAGCTAGCACGAACAAACGATGTGTCAGCTAAAAACTTTTTTACTAAGTATGTCCCGTCCATGAAAACTACACTATTCGACTCAGAATTTAATTCTGCATCGAATAGTGGCACTTCCATTCACCGGACAAACTTTGGAAAATTTTTTATCTATATCTTTGTTCGCTTCCTTTAGGTGTATTTATAATCCAGATAGAATTTTTCCAAAGTTTGTCCGGTGAATGGAAGTACCACTATTCGATGCAGAATTAAATTCTGAATCGAATGGACTTGGTTTTATGAACCGGACAAACTCTGGAAAAACGTTTTTAGCTTACATACAGTTTCTTCGTGCTAGCTCCTTCGTGCTAGCTTCACACTGATGTGATAATGATGTTTATCCTGATATTACTGATGAAAAAGTCTTTGAATTTTTAACAAATACGATAAAAGATGATGAATGTTGTTTTCATTGGGTTCAACATCATATTGGTAATAAAGAATTAAAATCTTTCATAGACAAAAGAGCGATTTCTGAAGAAAAGAATAATGATTTGAAATCCGTTAGAACAATTTTTAATAATATTTATTGTATTCGGAGAATCAAAACTAATGTACATCGTATCTCTATGTAGAAAGCATATCTCCTGTCGTTATTTTATCATTAATTGCATTTCTTAAATGTTGCTATGTTCTCTTTCTCGTAGAGAAGAGTCTTAGAAGCATAAATTGTTTGCTTGCTTGCTTGCTTGTTTGCTTGTATGTCCGCAGGGTCAAAAAAAAATTGAAAATCAATTTTTCCGAAAAGACATTTCTAGATGTATTTCGATGCGGAGACTTCGAATCTGATGTTATTTTTTTGAAATTTTTGATAAAAAACACTTTTTTAGACAAAGAACCACTTTTTTACAAAAAAATTTTTTTTTTATAAAATTTTACCAAAGGGTTTTTGGGTCCAGGAATTCAAATCTGATGTTAGTTTCTCGAAATTTTTTGTGAAAAAATTTTTTTGTGACAAAGGATCATTTTTTTATGAAAAAAAATTTTCTTTATAAAGACTGACGAAAGGGTTTTTTGGGTCGAGGAACTCGAATCTGATGTCATCTCTTTGAAATTTTTCATAAAAAAAATTTTTTTGAGACAAAGACCCAATTTTTTACAAAAAAATTTTTTTAAATAAAATTTTACCAAAGGGTTTTTGTGGTCCAGGAATTCAAATCTGATGTTAGTTTCTCGAAATTTTTTGTAAAAAATTATTTTTTAGACAAAGAGCCGTTTTTTACAAAAAAAAAAGCTTTTTTATAAAATTTGACTAAGGAGTTATTTGGGTCGATGAACTCGAATCTGGCGCTATTTTTTTAAAATGTTTACATAGATTAATTTTTTTATACAAAGGGCGACTTTTTTTGCAAAAAACAGTTTTTTTATAAAAATTTACAGAAGACATTTTGGGGTCGGGAATTGTACCTACCTTCGCTATAACTACATACAAGGCGCAAGGACTCACAATGAACAAAATCGTAGTCGATCTTCAAGTTCCACCTGGGACACTGCAAGTAGCATCGATATATGCACCACTCAGTAGAGTGAAGAAAGGGGATGATATAGTTATCTTTCGACCTTTCCATATGAAGTTTCTACAATTCAACCTTCTTCTGCGCAAGACGCTGAACTGAAACGTTTAGATGAACTTGACAAAAAGACAAAACGAGAGTGTACCTCTTTCATTTTTTGAAACATGTGTAAATCAATACTTTGCTAAGAGTCTAGTGTTATTGCAAGCATACAAAACGTATTATATTTTGAGATTACCTTAAAATAATTATTCATGCATGCTTATTTTCTTTATCTCTTGCTTCACATTTATCTTAATTATGGTAGTAACTGTCTCTTTCCTCTCATTGCATCAGATATTGCCTATCGTGTTTTCTTAATTTCGTTCTTTGATGTAATCATCCATAATCTTCCTAACTGTATTGATATTTCTTCACAATATCTAATGCTCTATTTAACATTTGGTATAAATATCTATTGTTGCTTTTGTGAAAATATCCAATCTACACTAAAAATAAATTAATATACACAATAATGGCTTTAAAGTGTAATATCTGAAAGCACGATTTCTACGAGAAAGAGCTGAGCGAGTCGCTAGACGAGCGTTACTTGTGATATTATATGCAATGCTTTTTATACGAAAAAAAAAACGATCATTGATAGTTTTATTTCTTAGATTTATTTAAATTTCTCATATTCTAATCGATCATGTCATCCTATTCTAATGCTGGTGATCATCAATCAAGAGTTTATTGTAAGAGAAAATGAACATTTAATAAAAAATTCGATTGAAATTTATTCATACATTAGTAAATAAAATTTTCGAAATGAAAATTACCTTTTTTTTAAAAATGAATTCTTACTATTTAGAATCCTAAACCACAAGATTTCCTTCTCAATCAAAGTTGACGAAGAATAATTTGTTTGATTTTCATTTTATTAATTATTTATTTGAAAATTTTTGTTGAATTATGGAAAATGATCAATGAAGTCTCTTAAAAAAAATGAATATTTACATCAATAATGACTTCTTCAACAAGAAATAATTATTAATCAGAAGAAAAATTTATACGAATTTCTAAATAATTTAAGATCATCTTCAAATCAAAGTGAACAAAACTGTTTTACTTTGATTTCTAAATTGTATTCTAAATAAACCTTAAATATATATAAGAAAAATATAGATATTAGAGCAGAATATAATGAAATCGTACCTCCATTACAATATCGTTCGTCTTTTCTTTGTTTGTTGAACAACTTTTTAATTTTAATTATCTTCAAAAAATCTTACAAATTTTATTTGTCTTTGTGTATATGCCGAATTCTTTCTTTCTAATCAACCAAATGTTTCATATACTTTATTCATCATTGAATATTATTAGGGGTGGCACTTCAACTTTAACTTTAAAGGAAAAGTTAAAGTTTAAAGTTGCTTAAAAACATAAAATAAAGAAGTTTAACGCGACTTTAAAGAACTTTATACTTTAACTTTTTCTTTAAAGTTAAAGTTAAAGTGCCACCCCTAAATATTATNATAAGTCTACAATCGTTCGTAGTCTGTAACACCCTCACCCATAATATTATAAGAATATTTTTGACAATATCGAAAGTTTTATTGATGCTCTTCTTTTTATTTGAAATTTAATATGAGAGAACACTAACATACAGATTCACGAAGAATGACGGCAAACTCAAACCGTTTCTTCATGTATGATGCAATAACTAAGACACATTGCATGAGTGATTATGAAGAAAGACAGAACAGAATATAATGTTCTGAATCCATCTTTCGGTAGTATGGCCGAGCGGTCTATGGCGGCAGTTTTAAGCACTGCTCTTTCGTGGGTTCGAATCCTACTACTACTAATTACTGATTGATTTTTTAAAAATTAATTAATGAAATATTGTTCAATTCATGGAAAACAAAAAACGAATCAAATATAAAATATGAAAAGGTTTCTCAATTGTCATCGATTGATTTAATGCACAGATAGAATAAAGTCAAAGGACGGGGGCGTATTAGGCCGTAAATCGGCCCATTTCAAAATCAACTTGGCAAATACCAAAAACGATGCAGAATGAGACGGAGAATCTTTCTACGCCAAATTCCAGTCAACTGGGCACCGTATAAAAGGTTTCCGATGGACAATACTACTTGGTATTTTCACCCTATTATGGTAGCGTCTTTTCAAAGATCTCATAACAAAAATTCTTTCATATCATCTACCAAATAGTTCTGTTAGAAATAGCAGACAATTCTGCACAAAATCATATGTGAACCACCTTGAAGAAGCATGAGATGCCTAATTCGACTTATATTATAAGTCGACCCCCGACAGGCTAGTATCGATTCGAATATAAATAGATATTATCTATATAACCCTTATAACAAATGACTAGATAGGAATAGAAATAGATTTAGTTTTACTTATACATATATACACCCACACCCTCACTTATCTATCTCGATTGAGGGTGCCGCGGTGGGTGTGGGTATATATGTATAACTGAAACTAAATCTATTTCTATTCCTATCTAGTCATTTGTTATAAGGGTTATATAGATATCTATTTATATTCGAATTGATACTAGCCTGTCGGGGGTCGACTTATAATATAAGTCGAATTAAGCATCTCATGATGAATGTTCCTAGTACATTACTAAACAAGTAACGCTCGTCTGTGGACTCGCTCAGCTGTTTCTCGTAGAAATCATACTCTATAATATCACTGAAGTTTCTGTTTATATAATATGTAAAACCTGATTTGAGATTCGCAATTCTCGACTTCGAAAACTCTTCGGTCAAACTTCACCAAAAAACAATTTTTCCGTAAAAATAACCCTTCTCCTAAAAAATTTTTTTTATGAAAAATTTCAGAGAGATGACATCAGATTCTAGTTCCTCGACCCAAAAAACCCTTTGGTAAAATTTTATTTAAAAAAATTTTTTTTGTAAAAAAGTGGTTCTTTGTCTAAAAAAGTGTTTTTTATGAAAAATCTCAAAAAAACAACATCAGATTCGAAGTCTCCGCATCGAATTACATCTGGAAATGTCTTTTCGGAAAAATCGAGTTTCAATGTTTTTTTGACCCTGCGGACATACAAGCAAGCAAGCAAGCAAGCAAACAGTTTATGTTTCTAAGACTCTTCTCTACGAGAAAGAGAATATAATTGTATTTGCTAGACTTAAAATATTTCGAGAAAATTCATGTTACATTCAAATTTTATTAGAATATTAATCAATATTAATTATTTTTATTATGAGATAATTAATTGTTGAGGGTATGTAATGCTTGTAGGGTGACAGTCTTACAAATCACTTCCACATACATACTCTCAGAAGTAGCTGAAAGTAGTTATCGGAGTCTTTTATTTTCTTATAAAAATCAAAAAGTGAAATACTAGCTTTTTTAAAAAAATGTCATTTTATTGTGTTGACTGTGATAATAAAGGTGAATACGTCATTATATTTGCATGTAAAATTTAGTATCAAGAAATAAGAATGTGATGATTTTTTTAGTATTAGAAATAATATTACTTATCTTTTCTTATTTATTTTAGGGAATAGATAAATACAAAATAGTGTCAAGCCGGAGATCTATAGTTTTTTTAGTTTATATCTTTTGTGAAACATCATATGAATAACAATCAGAATGAAAGCGACCTTCTCATTAAAAACAACTGTTTACAAAAATTGTGGCACCATCGACGAGCTAAAATCATCTCCATTGCTTGTATTATTATAGCAGTATTTGTAGTAATGCTTTCTCTGTTATTAAAATTCGTTGTTTTTGCACCGATCAAGCCAATAAGCCCTACTATACAATCACAACATCAATACTACCACCGCTAACAACAACAACGACAGTAATGTCGACCTCAACAGCATCGGTTTTAACAGATGGAAAAGTACTAGTTACTGGTGGAACTACGAATGGTATATCACTCAAAAGTACTGAGCTGTATGATCCAATAACAGGAACATGGTCTATTGTTGGTAACATGAATAAGGAACGAATTCGTCATGCAGCTGTTATGTTATTAAATGGAAAAGTGCTAGTTACTGGTGGATCAGGTGAACGTGATTCTGAACGTACTGCTGAATTATTTGATCCATTAACAGGTAATTGGACATTTACTGGTGATATGCATTTTGAACGAGTCAGTCATACAGCATCTACTCTACTAAATGGAAAGGTGTTAGTTACTGGAGGAGCTTTTGGTGATGATAGAGCCACTACTGAATTGTATGATCCGGTCACAGGTAATTGGACCAAGAGCGGTAATATGATATATAGACAAGAATGGGACACAGCATCGGTTTTAGGAAACGGAACAGTTTTAGTTACTGGTGGTCCTGGTGTCAATATCGCTGAATTATATAATGTAGCGATGGGTAATTGGACTCAAACTGGTAGAACAAATACTTCACGATGGTTTCATACAGCATCCGTGTTACTAAATGGAAAAGTGTTAGTTGCTGGTGGTTCTTATGGTGTGTATAACAGAAGTACGGAATTGTATGATCCATCGACAGGTCATTGGACCAATTCGGGTAATATGAAACATGGACGAAAGGATCACACAGCATCCGTTTTAACAAATGGTAAAGTGTTAGTTACTGGTGGATACTATAATGATACATATGTAAATGATGCTGAATTGTATGTTTCATAGTAACAGAAATTCGAGAGGTTATGAACGTGATTTCTATTTAATTTTAAAGATTATTATTTAACGTAAATAACTTACTCGACTTCTTCTGTATTTCATCGCCAAATCGATAAGTCTAATACTTTCAAAGCTGTTGAAGTTTTAAAAGAACAGAGGGTTATTGTTGATAAAATAATGAGAAATATCTTGGAGAATTCAACTTGACGACGAATTCAACAAAATCACAGGCAGTATCTCTATCTCATTCACCAACTTATACGAGCATATACTGCATTCATTCTTCACGTACAAATACACTCAAGCAAGAATCTAGCAACAATAGTCAGAATTCAAGTTTTACAAGTTTGTTTGTCACAAAAAGGATGATAATACGCCATTCGTTATGATTGTGATCCTTTAGGAATAAATTTCATATCCTTATATCTTTCATATTTCCACGTATTCAATTTCCTTAATTAGAAGTTTTCTGGTAATCCATATGTCTTTGAAAATAGTTATTCTACGAAGTTATATTTTTCATTATATGAATAATTGTCGGAAGTACAAGGGTAATGCATTACTTGAGTACACTTATTGTAAAGTGGGATAAAAATACATTTTTTATTCTGTGTCAACAGAATGCTAACGTAAGTTGGAAGTTTTCGTGTTTATCTATTCGTTTTCTCGGCTTATATTGGAAAAATCTTTAGATGATTTCAAGTGTCCATGAGGGCCCCTATTCATGATATTTACTAATCTCAAGTATTATGTTTTTCAGCAAAAAGTGCGTTTAGTTCGGTATATAAACGAATTATTTTCGCCTTTAAGTGTAACGCAATTTTTTGACATTACGTCTTGCGCAAGCAGCCAAATTCAACCAAACACATTCGAAGGTATATCGATTTTACAGTATAGTGTTTTATAGATTAATTTTATGGCGATTTTCTCGCATCGAAAATGTATGCGGCGCTATACTGAATGCATGGTAGAAATGTTTTAAGCGCACATTCTCAATGATTGAGCGACATGTTCAAGTTTCGAGGTGAACTTGTTTTAGAATGTGATATTCGAAATGGCGGTGTAGCATATAGCAAAATTTTCGCTTGTTTTGAACGACTATGATTTTCAAAAGATCCCATAGGAAAACGAGAACTTTTTCGTCATTCTCGACTTACGTTCGCTATATTAGCTTGAAGGTTATTTCGCGCTAACTAGTGAACACGTTGAATATTCTACTTTGATTTCTATCATTTGGCATCGTTTCTTTCTGCAAAAAATTTTCTCTATCAATGTTTAATATTATTAAAACTAAATTTACTATCTTTGAAGATATTCATTATGTCATCAAAATTCGGTGGATCGTGCAGTTACAGTGGCTCGACAGACAGTAGTAGTGGTGATTCTACGGCAAGTATTTCTTGTCCAATTTATACAAGTTCAAGTGGCATTACTGTCAGCGGTACAGGTTCTGCAACATATTCGGGTGATGGTCAAGTAGGCGGTGGTGCAGGCGTCAGTGTGACCATACCATTTCCGTAACAAGCTATGCGTTTCACGTATCCATGTGAAGAGAACCCATATTATATTTTTTACTCTTGACTTTTCAATATAAATTATATATTCCAGAATTAAATAAATCAATAATCATAAATAACGCTCGTCGAGACGGACTCGCATTGCCCTCTACTGAAAAGATTCATATGTAATAATCAATTTGCTACTGTTTTTTCATTTCATATAAGAGAAAATATTTTCCAATATGAAGTTTATTTATTTGTTTTTCAATGAAATAAAGACAAATTCATGATATAATAAACAACTACATGAGAGAAAGCAAATAATTTTTTGTATTAGTTCTAACTAAATCTCTAAAGAAGTCAAAATATGAATAAAGTATATGCGAGTACGGATAAGAAGCGTGGAACAAAACATAATAGTTACGGTAAAATTGAAAACAAAATTTGGATTTCGATTACAAAACAACGAACTAATAGAGAAAATGTTTAATTATACAAGAAATTTGCGGTTACAAGTGATACAAATGAATCCGATGCGCAAAATGGATGACAAGCAATGGTGATTTGTCTTTTCTATCGAATTTGTCAAAACCATTCTGAGAAACGCATTTGTGTTTCCATGTAGAGTTTGTCTAGTCTTTGCATCTCGGCAACTTGAGATTTGCTGAGTTTGATCACTAAGACTTTGTGATCAAAGTGTCGTAAAATAATCAAATCGTCCAAACGCTTCACTCTCGATAATGGTACATAAATTGCAGCGATGTCATCTGTATAGCTCTTAGTAACTTCAGATCGATGACTACTTTGCTTACAGTTTGTCCTTGACTTTTGTGAGTTGTGATAGAATATGCGGGTACAAGAGGTAACGCGCGCGTCGTTTAATCGATAACATTGCCTTTCTGTTCGTTTTTGATTTGTTGTTGACTTTCGGAAGAATATCCGAAATGTCCACCTGAAAGGTTTGTTCCAGTATTGGTATTGGAATAAGTTTTGGTTGGAGTTTTGTCAAGATTGCATTCAATTTTGATTTGGTAATTTCGACCAATGCATACATTGGCTTGTGCACATATGTAGTGTTCATTGGAAACGTTTTTCATAGACTATCTATTGACACTGAGTCAAGATCATAGACTAGTTGTCTAAAGATTCCATTCATGCCGTTAATTAATCCGAGTTCGATAGCAATATTTTGTGTAATAATAACCGGCATTCCAGGAACTAACGGTAACAAACCCGGTAAGTGCTCAGTCTTACTGTCAGATAATTCCTATAATTTCTTAAGGAGTGTCGGCTCTTCAACAGGTTTGCCTTTACAAAAGTCCTGGGCAACACATACCATTGGATCGCAACCTGTTTGTATTGCATTATGAATTGCCGACCTGTGATTCAGTTGCGTTCGTATTTCATTTCTAAATACAAGCATGGGAGCCTAAAACAAAAAAGCGTAGAAAATATGTTTATTTAGAACAGAGAAATATATCTTACTTGATTCCATGGCGGTTCACGAAGAGATACGGTTGGCTGTCCCACAACGCGCGTCATTAATAATTCATGATCTTCTCATAACTACATTGACCTTGACGAAGTCGTTCAAGTAATTGAAGATATTGTGAGTCTTCTGTTCGCATCTGTTGAGTAAGTTTGACCACACAATTCATTTGTAGAATTCAAGAACGTGCAACACGTTGTTGGATTTTGTTTTTATTTTCCGGCGAAAAGTCAGTGTGTAACGGAGCATCGTATACGGGCCGGTACTGTAAATAATCACCAAAGAATATTACGTTTATACCACCGAATGGAATTTGCGGATCGGCATGTTTAGCGGCACAAAGAATTCGATTGAGTTTACCGAGTAAAGGCAAACCAACCATACTCATTTCATCAATCAAGAGATACTCTACAAGTATACATTCTTGTTCCAGTTTTAAATCGCCTGGTTTAATAGTTCGTGGCTTTCCTGAATTGCGTTGTTCGCCTAAAAATGAATGGATAGTCATGCCACCAATTTCAGCGGCCGCAATGCCAGTAGGTGCTAGCTTTCGCATCTTTTGTATTCTGTTTGTAAGACGAAAATATTCAGTCACAGCACGAATAAGTTGTGATTTTCCTGTACCACCACACCCGGGTATACACATGATAAGTTGCCCATTGTTATCTCCTATATAGATGATATTTTTCAATTTATGATTATATAGAACCATGTGCATGAACATACCTGCGTGTGACGGTTTGTCGCCATCAAGATGACTTGTTATTATCATAAATGCAGCTTTTTGTTCTCTGTTTAGTGTGTATTGATCAGCGACGCTCTTTTGATTACAATAAGTTGTACTTGTTACTGAAGCAACCGGAAGAATTGAGTTATGCTTATCGGACATATTCATATTTGAATTAGTTGAATTTATCAGTGCTACAACTGTATCTTCTATATCGTTCATATTTGACTCGTCGCCTATTTTATAATGTTTGCCAGTGATTAAATTTCGTCTAACTCGCTCTCTTTCAGCTTTCAGTTGTTCTTGCCATTTAGTATTGAGTCGAGCGAGATCAGCTGTTGAAGGAACAAATGGTGTTATCAGCTGATAATTATCAGCAAACGATGCATTTATCAAAATTTGATTTGGTGCTGCAAGAAAAGATAGCGTTGATTCTGAAGATGAATGATTACTTACTGTGTGTATGAGAGAATCGTCCCATCTGTTCTACAGCTTCTATAGTTTCCTCTATATACACATTTTCTGTTGATTTCTTCATGCTGCTCATTGCAACTGTAGTATAATCGTTAAAATTACCGAGCAATTCAAGTAAATCTTCGCTGTCACTTGTACACTCTAAAAAAAATTAGTGTTCTACTGAACCCTCAAAAAAAGTTCCGTGGTTACGAAAAAGTCTCCAGACAGGTTCACGATTACAAAAACGCAATAAAAATTTCTACAGAACCATTAAAGGATCTTCCCGTGTATCGGAGGGAAGAACCTTCTACTGCTAAACATTTCTTTAAGTTCAGCATACCGAAAACAGGTTCCGTAGCAAAATGCAAAACTTATGGGCTTTCATATCAAACTATAGAAGGACATTAAGGTTGGGTACGAAACTATTATATTTTGCTAAAGAACTCTGAAAGTTTGGTATTATGCTACGGAACCTGTTTTCGGTATGCTGAACTTAAAGAAATGTTTAGCAGTAGAAGGTTCTTCCCTCCGATACACGGGAAGATCCTTTAATGGTTCTGTAGAAATTTTTATTGCGTTTTTGTAATCGTGAACCTGTCTGGAGACTTTTTCGTAACCACGGAACTTTTTTTGAGGGTTCAGTAGAGCACTAATTTTTTTTAGAGTGTATCATCGTATTCATCGTATGAACTTTGATTTTTTGGAAACAGTTCGGGCTCGATTGTGTCGTTCTGAACTTGAGCTTCTGTAATCACTTTCACTAAGTGTTCATCTCGAATGGACATGAAAACGTAGAAGAAATTGCAACGATAATGATATCGTTCATCTCTTTCTGTTCTTTATTCTCTCACCTCTATATCATACTATCTCCGGGTTATATCTCTCTTTCCTCTTCTCTATATAAGCGCGTGTCTTATTCTGAAAGAGATACATTCTGGTCATGTAGAGTAGTCAATAAACATCGATACCGTGAGAAGCGGTCAGCTACTCAACCAGTTTGTCGTTACAGAAATCAATGTCGAAGGCAAATATGTCGAAGTGAAAACGTCGAGAAAAAAATAGCAATTTGAATTTTGTCGAAAGAAAAGAAAACCGATCGTGTAGAACATCGAATACTTCGTCACTGTATAAAAGAAAGACTTCTTCTAACTTCGTCCTTTTCATCCAATCTTTTTTGCGGTCCGTTGTAGGCCTACGACAGTTCCAGTTTAGTTCATAGAACTAGAACTTTTAGGCAGTTCTAGTTCAAAAGAACTGTGATGGCAAATAAGTTCCTACTCAAAGAGCTCGAAATGAACTTGTAGCTTGAAAACTCTTCTATTGTGATGTTTATGTTCTTTATTCGATCCTTGATGCGCTTGATATTGAAGAAATATGCATGATCTAACAAGTAACGCTCATCCGTTGGATTCGCTGACCCTTTTCTGAAAGACTTTTCCGAATGCTGAACACATTCAGAGACTTCGAAAGAGAAAAAACGCACTGCGATTGCTACTAGTGCTCAA